TCTCTTTAGTGATTAGAAATGTTTCGAGATCAGCACGTTGTTGGGATGTGTAAATCTGTATTCAATACCATTTGTAGACCAGGCATTAAGAATACTTCACAGTGTTTGTCTAGTGCATTAATTTTAATTATACTCCATTGAACTCGCACAGTGCTTTGAAATGCCTTACAAAATGCCCCCAAGATCTTTTACTAATCTTAACAAAAGCACCATGAAATGCTAATGCTGATGTTGCTAACTCAGCAGCATCAGCCTGCCTGCGAGTGCCCTCTTCTGCTTTCAGAATGTACTACAAATGGCATTTCCTGGAATTCACAGAAATTCTGGGGAAGAGCAAAAGCTGCTTCTCAGGAAAATGCCGACATCCAACCATGTTATTTAAATAAACCACCCTCCGCCCTACCCAGGTCAACAATTCCAGTCTTTATGTGCTGAAAAGTATCTTCTTCCATACCTTTTAAATGAATAAACTGTCTCAATTCCACAGAAAAAGGAAATGTCCTCATATTCAGATCCTCGCAATTGTCAGATAACTATCAATCCTGAGGTTTGCAAGGCTGTGCTGAGGCAAATACCGGAGCGGAAGAAGGGAAAATGGCAAACCCCAAAGTGTTATGGGGATTTGCATCTTTCCCCCAGGAAGCCTCATAGAAATGAACTTCAATTCTTTAAAATAAGGGCAATTAATCAAACCAGTTTTCCTTTTCCTTATAGATGGAACACGATTTTAAAGACACAATATTACCTGCAGCTGTTATCTATGGTATTTGATTGCAAATCAAGGATTTGCTTTCTAGGCAGCAATTCTGTCTTCCTTTAAAAATGAATTCTAGTGAAATTTGTATTTTTATGCCAGTGCTAAGCAGGAATTTATTAATACAATTATAACAAGAAAAGTCCTTGTTTCATATAAACCAGGAAAATATGCAGGTAATTAGGTTGAGTCACATGAAATTGCCATCAAGAATGGTTAAATATTGGCAATTGCCTATGATTCAACCGAATATACACACAGCCCATTGCTTTAGGACCCCGGATAAGGGCACAAATAGTCCTCCGGAGTGGAGCAGCTGCAGAGAATGGGGAGGTGGGGAGAGAAACACCAAAATCTAGTGGAATCGCTGTGTATCTACATACAGGGCGGGGCAGGGGGGGCAATCTAGGGTGGAGCTGAGACAGTCAAGAATTGACTGATAGGAATTGAGAAATTTTGCTACACATATGTCAGTTTATACTACTTCATCCTTTTGTTATTTAAAAACTAGACACAAGTCTCATTAATTCCAAATCGAAACCCAAAGCAAACCTGTTGCCGTCCAGTGGATTCCGACTCATAGGGACCCTATGGGACAGAGTAGAACTGCCCCATAGGGTTTCCAAGGAGCACCTGGTGGATTCAAACTTCCAGCAGTGGCTAAAACAGTGCTTGATGATCTGGCCTCTATGAAAGGTTTGAAACTTTAATAGCTAGACAAAAACAGAATTTCAACACACGGAAGCTTTCTTATAAAAAGGAGAGGGTGGAGAGGTTGTTAGATCGGTTGTTTTTAAATCAGAGCTGATTTACTTCATATCTATTATGCCCCCCACCTTATTTGAAATATATTCTGTATAATTGTGTAAAAAAGTTTTCTAAACTTAAAAAATTTGTCCTTTAAATGCATGTTATTTCTGTAAATAGCACTATAGAAGTTGGCAAAGGTTGAAAATTCCTTAAAATTCTTCAGTGGACAAAGTTTGTCCTCATTGTCAGGAAAAATTATAAAAGACTAAATAGTGGGTGTCCTGCCTACCCATCCTGGTTATCAGTGCCTTTCATTGTCTTCGAGTTATTTTACAGCTCTGGAAATTACAGAAAACTGATAATAATCCTTGTCCCTGACCACAGAAGTACAAATTAATTGTGTGAGTACAAGGGAATTGATTATCGACCCATTTTGCATCTACTTATACATTCATTTCAGAATTCCTTATTTTCTATATATGTCTTTGTTCTTCAAATTCTCCATTTAACTAATTGCAACATCTTATTGGACCCCTGATGGCGTAGTCGTTAAGAGCTTCTCGGCTCCAAAAGGTCAGCAATTCAAATCCACCGGCCACTCCTTAGAAACCCTATGGGACACTTCTACTCGGTCCTATAGGGTCGCTATGAGTCAGAACCCACTCAGCAGCAATGGGTTTGGTGTTTTGGTTTAACATCTTATTGGCTCCCACATTAACGAGTTAGATAAAATCTTGGGCATGTATGAGAGTCACGATCTTACCCTCTTGCAAAAATCATCCTTTAACATCGTCAATTATAGTTTGGTAATGGTTTTACTTTCCCAGGATGCGCCAAGATGCCATGTTCACTGGCTCCTTAATAGTGAAGTAGTGTACATATGCCTGACAAAGAGTCAATTGTTTAAGGTTATTGAAATTGATTTCATACCTAAAAGGAAAAAAAAAAAAAAAACCCCAGACCTTGCAACAGAAGATTTAAGTCCACGGCACAGCAGCAATCATTTGAAATACATCTTTAATTTTAGAAAAATCAATAAGCAATCTACAAAATATTTGGTTACATTATTAAGGTTCAATCTGTCTTATATTTGTATTGCTAGGACATAAAACCATATTTTGAATAAAACATAGTAATACTTTGTCATTGTTAAGGAAGACCTTCTAGCTGAATTTATAAGAAAAAGGGTTGTATCATAAGCACAGCTCCAGACTGAAGGGAACTAAAACCCTGGCACTGTCTAATCTACTAATCAGATCAAAATTTCCAGCCTTTATTTATGTGCTGGAAAGTATCTTTTTTCATGGGTAAATCGTTTTGCTTCCCATAAAAAAAGGAAATATCTTTAAATTCAGATCTGCACAATTGATCGGGTAATTATCAACCCATGAATTCATTTACAGTTAATATGATTCTTTGGTAAAGAAAACAGCCCAGAACAATTAGACCAGAGCACCTAGTCATAAGTTGGTCAACTCCTTCGAAGTTGGCCATTATGTCAATCAAATGACTGACCACCCCCTCAACGGTCAAACTCATAAAAAGGTGATCTAAATTACCTAAATTAAAACGCCAGCAAGGAGTAGTTCTTCCCTTCCCACTCCCTTCTTTCCTCTCTCCCCTCCCTTAAAAGCAAGGACTTTTTGAAGATCATTATTTACTTTCTAGCAAAGGAGATTCTGCTTCTTAATTTGTAAGTCTAAATGGACCCCCCCCCCCGATTTTTCACTTAGAGCTACCCAGTCACATTTGACCTCCTGCCATTTCCGAGGTCAGACAAATTGTAATAAAAAGCCTCTCCTCTCTACTCAGAATGTTAATTTAACGCCAAGTTATGAATATTTAAGGCTCCTAATAGATGTGCAAATTAACAATTATGCTGTAGCACCCCGCCGTTAAGGCTATCAACCTTGGTGTTGTTGCTGCAGAAACTCAGCCTTTTGTTACTATGTTTCCAGCACCGAATCTTGAGATGATCCGGAAGCCTGGATGGCTGATAGTAAACGACCCCAGCAGTGAGGTACCCACAGACACTCAACCTGTGAAGCATGAGGGGTGATTAATTGAACTCTGTGCTGAATTTATCTGGAGGTGTAAATACTCATTAAGTTCATCTGAATCAGCCTCTGAGTTCTCTATGAGTAGGATGCCATACAACCAGCTTAGAAAGAATGGCAGTAATTAACCCAGCTAATTTCCTTGGAATCGTGGTTCACTGTCAGGCTCAGCCCGCCTCCACATTTGTTCTGAGCAGACCGAAGTCACTCCCGAGTGTGCCCACACCATATGATAAGGAAAGACAGTGAAATTAAAAAATAAAAAAAATAACCCACACACAGATTTGCCATCCTATACATCAACAGGGAGTCTCCAGCATACTTCAGTGAAGTTAAAAAGAACAGCACTAACTCATTTTCACCTGACATTTGCATTCTTTGCCTTTGCAGTAAAATAATGAAAAGCAATAAAATCTGCTGATTGATACAGACCATCACAAAAGTCTGTTTTAATCTTTTTTTTTTGAACAGGTTAAAACAAATGTAATACAATGTTAAATAAAACATATGAAATAAACTCTGTGAGCCAACAAATAAACATTTCTGGAAGAACATTTCATCAGTTCTGACCTGAAATTATTTTAGTAAATAGAGAAAAATACCTCCTAATTATATTTAAGATTCAACATAAATTGAAAGTGTATTAATACCATACAGAGGACTTGTTTTTCAGACTAAAATAATACCTAGAATAGAGATTTCATAAATTTGAAAATTCTGACCTTTCACTATAAATACGGAAAGGAAATTATAAACAGAATTGTAATGGCTAATGTCACTACCTTTTCATTAGAAACCCAACTATTATAGTCATTTACCTGAATCTGAAGAAAAGAAATGTTGCCTCTTAGAAATCATAATAATCTCGTGTCTTTCACTTTGCTCATCTTTTAAAGAAAAATACTCTAAATTAGGCAGAGTTAGCATAAAATAGCATAATAGCAGAAGTGGCATAAAATCAGAATACAATTTAGACTTCTACTCAACTGAGGCTTGTGTTACCTACAAATAATATTTAATCAACATACATTCTTAGAATTTCTATTGGGAAACAATATTCATGAACTTTAAAAATTCATCTTTAATGTACACAAATATTTTAACTAGTGACCAATACTGGGATTCCATTTTCAAAGGAATCCCTCCAAGGAAAAGGCAATATGTTTTAATGACTTGTACTAAAATATACATATATATATATCTCAACAGAAATGACTTCTTTGTAGCACACACCAGAATACAATAATAATAATACAGTGGGGGGAAACAGGTACCAAATACAGTCCATGACTGCTTACCAACGTGGTAAAAACACACACACACACACAAAACAAACCCACTGCTGTCGAGTCAATTCCAACTCATAGCAACCCTACAGGACAGAGCAGAACTGCCCCATAGGGTTTCCAAGGAGCGGCTGGTGTATTCGAACTGCCGACACAATACCTCCAAATCTCCATTTCCGCCTGTGGTGTAAACATCATTCTACGCCTAGCCACATCTCAGAGAGAGGAAAACTAAGTCTTTTTGGTTCATGTTTCCTTTGATTGCCTTACCCTGTTACCAGTGCCCATGGCAAGAACAGGTGGAGACTGAGGAGAATAAATACGACACCTCGGTAATTCAAAGTACAAAACCAAGAGCCACCGAGGAATCAAAAATTAAAAATCATTTAGCCAATCTGGCTGCTGGGTCACACATAGACTAACAGTGCCTTTGGGTTTCAATAGGAAGCAAAAACATCTCACAAACCATAGACACATTTTAGATCAAAGCCCCGGGACACAAACATATCAAAAGTATAAAATTCAGATTGTTGGATTTCAGGTCTAACCTTCTCTAATCACAGCCACGGGACCTGTCCTAAGCCCTCTATTCAGAAGTCATTTCCACTATGCAGTAGCAGAACTGGGTATGGTTTCTGTGGATTACATATTTGAAAAGTGGGCCGCCGTCATCGTGGCCTCTTGCTGCTCTTACTGAGTTACGCAGCCACCAGCTTTATCTGGGTCCTCTCCGGCGATTTTAATCCACTTCTTTTCTATTTCAACCTGTTATCCAAAAGGAAAACATAGGCAGCGTTAACAATTGCAACATGACAATAACGCCTACTTGGTCCTATTTTATATGTGAGGCAAGGGCTGTAGCCACCCTACTTGGTCCTATTTTATATGCGAGGCAAGGGCTATAGCCACCTCATCCTTTGGATACTGACTCAGACCCAGCCCCTCCACCCTCGCACGCTAGCGCCAAAGCAAGGCACCTGTTCTCCTTTTGGGGACCAGAGTCACACCAGTCCTTCCCTCCAGATTCTGATCTTTAAGACGACCGAAACCCTCACTCTTCCTAGAGTTTTCATAAAATGTATACAGAATGTAAATACTGATAAGACATCTGCAGATCAGGCTAGACACAAGACAGACTATACTCCCAAGTGCCATCTAGCCAGCCTTTGGCCCATCTGAGATTTATAACTCACCCCAAATTATCTAATTAGCTAGAACACAAACTAGTAAACCAGCTGTCCCAACTCATCTGCCTGCCTGCATTTCAGCTCAAATGTCACCTCTTCATTGAGGCCTTCCCTGACCGCCCTAGATAAGGAAGTCCTCCATCACTCTCCAACCCATTATCTTATTTTATTCTCCTTAGTATTTGTCACTCTCTGAAATTACAGTATTTGTTCTCTAATTACTTTTTGTTTAGCCCCACTCAAAGGTAAGCTCCATGGTGACAGGGACCTTGTCTGTCTTGCTCACCACTGTACCCCAGCAGCTAGAGCAGTGCTTGGCACTTAGAAACTACTCAACAGATACTTCCTAAATGGAAGAATACCATTTTGAAACAGCCTGCCAACAGGTGCAGATCTGCCCCAACTTAAACCAAAGGGGCTGGGAATGTACCTGGATATTGAAGCAAGCTCGCTGATAAACGTGCTTCTGAGGCTGGACATCACTCTCCACGCCCAGAGACCTGACCTCTGTCCTTGAGGCAAAGGTGTCAAGTGTAACAAACTGAACAGTAGCAAATGGATACCAATCAGATGGAATTTCTTGGTCTGATCCAAGCTCTAGTTTGTATGACAGACAATGGGGATGATCGGAACCTTGAGAAAAGAGACATCGAGCGATCAAAGTATCTCCATGGCCTTGAACATTTCTCTTGAACAGTAAGTAGAGGCACTTGCCTTTCTCATTAATAAGCAATTCCATTAGCACTATGGCACTGTGAGTTACATTTAAATGAAAGACCATCAAAATTCACCATTTTGTACTAGTTAGGGGAAAATCATCTGCATTTTTAAAGTACTAGCTTTAAAAGAAGTCTAAAATAATTACTATATACATGCATACTATATGCATACATTAACTCCTAAAAATGGTTTCAATTACAAGTACTACTTAGTCCTTCTTTAATTAATTAAAAGATAAAAGTAATGTGAATATTAAACCTAATTTTTTGGCTAGAAAGTCCTTAGGAATTTACAAGCCTTTCTCTTAACCATACTGAAGAAACTCTTTTAATAATTTTTATGGTTCCTTACCACTCTGTTTATTTATAGATAATGCAAATATAAACTTCAGCCTGAATTAGGTCACATTATTAAACACTTCTGATTGTTTTTAAAGTTCAACTTAGGAAATTGTATTCTGTTTCAGAAAATATTCCAGGCCAGGCCAAGAATTCTTTTTTCAGTAGAACAGGTTATTTTTTATCACCATAATTCTCACCCACCTGCCTTAAAAGCTTTGACTAGAGCAGCTGTACAGTGCAGGGATGGGCATACTGGCTGTCAGTGTTCCAACCTCATATTTGCTTTTCATTTGATTCAATTTGTCATTTATTGAGCATCTACACTATGCCAGGCCAGGCTCTGTGTGAGACGCAGGGATATCATCAGGTACACTCTAAAGACTTCAAGTGGGGTCATGGAATGTCTGTGTGTATGTACTATAATGAAAAAAAAAATATTTTCAATGGCATCACTGCAGGAACTTTACAAGTACTCTGTGACTCTGTTGCATTGTTCAAAGCATCTACATATCCAATGTGGCTGTTATTTTTACTTAAATAACTGTATGAGATGACAGTAATTTCAAAACCCAGATTAAATAACCGTACCACTGACCAAGCTCGAGAAAGAACATTTCCATCAGAATATAGCTGTAGGCATAAAAACAAAGAGTTTAAAGGATTTCACTTAATTCTTAAAAGATAAATGGCCTTTCATTCCTTACAACCTGTTCCTTGTGCACAGACTAATAGAATTCTAAGGCTTTAAAAGGCCTTGAGAAGCCATCGATCTATTAACCAACCGATGCTCATTAGCCACCCACACCATTCACATGTAGGGCAGGATGACAGTGGCCACACCATTCACATGTATGGCAGGATGACAGTGGCCTGTAAGGTACTTTCAGGCACCCGGATCACGGCAGCAGGTGATAACTATTCACACACACCTATACCCAGAGGGGATTCCACACCCACCGCCCTTTCTAGTCTTCTGTCTGCAGCAAGGATACAGTTAAATGCATTTAATCTTAATTAAGGCGTTGTTAAATTCTGCAATGGCCCAGTGGTTAACAGCAAAGTCTCAACTGCTGCTCTGCTACTTAGTAGCTGTGTGATCCTAGGCAAGTTACTTGACCTTTCTGGGTCTCAGTTTCCCCATCTGAAAATGGAGATGATGATGACAACGTGCACCTTACAGAGTTGTTGTTGGATTAAACCAGGTGACGCGCCCGGAGCAGCAAGCAGAACTGGGTGGGCACACGGTCGTGGAGACATGTTGGACACATATTTTTATTTTGTGAAGAGCCATGGATTATAAACCCAATTTAATTAATTACTATCCTTTTTTCTGATAAAAGTACTATGAATTCTACATTTCCATGGCCAAAACTGAAGTTGGAGGTTATCTAATTTGATATCCATGTTTTATAGAGAAAGTTGATTTGGAAATTTTACAATAAAAATCCTTACCCGAATTGAAGAACTAGTACTCTGAAAATATTAGAGACAAAATCTTTCTACCTGCTTTTATATATATAAAAAAAAAAAACTGGTAAAAGATGAAGAGTATTTTTTCTTTCAAGTGTCCTGGTGTATTTTTCCTGGCTTTTAAAAATGCTAAATACGATGTTTAATGACACCTCCATCAGACTTTGAGTTTCACAAGGGCAGGGACCGTGTGTGTCCCTAGCAGAATGTCTGGCACATTTGGGCTCAATGGATATTTGCTGAATTCATGAATAGATGGGCTAAAAGAGGAAAATCATGTTATTTATCCCAGGGCTGACCACCAGGGGGCACTCTCTGGCCTTGGTAATTGTTACTCTCAGCCAGGGCTTCAAACAGATGGTTCTGGTTTGAACCCCTGCTGAGAATTTGCATTTCTAACAAGTTCCCTACTGAGAATTTGCATTTCAACACCAGATATACTGAATCAGGATCTGCATTTTAACAAGATCCTCAGGTGATTCTTATGTATAACTTCCTGGGAACTTGTTACAAATGCAAACTGTCAGCAAGGGTTCAAATTGGAAGGAACGAGTTAGAAGCCCTGCTCTCAGCATAAACCCATTGCCGTTGAGTCGATTCTGACACTCAGCATAACTCCTTATTTTCTCAGGAGCTCAAATGCAAGTCACAAAATCTACTTAAGCTAGATATCCGGTCCACATCTGAAACTGAATTGTCAAGGCTGGAGGGATTAAGGGGAGAGGGGGAGACAGCTGCCAATGAGCTGACAACCAAGAGCCAAGAGAAGAAGCAAACGCAGGCTATGTATTTTTTTTTAATTAGTAAATTTGGGAAGTTAGACATATTTGTTCATTGACCTTCCACAACTCTCTCTCCCTTTTCTAATTCATGCCACCATCTGTACCTTCTTCGGCCAGCTAGTGTTCTCTCTCTCCCTTTCTTCTTTCCTCCCTTCTTCCCTCCCTCCCTCCCAACAATGCCAGCTCTCAGGAAGGACTCCTCTGTCATCATTCACGCCTTAGGACAGACAAAGTCTATGAGCTGCCTGCCGCAGGCCTCCCTTAGTTGTAAAATGAAAGACTTGACCCATTGTGAAAGGAATATCCAGCCTTGTCATGCTAGAAGAAGAGGCATTTAAGGGACCAGCAGCCCTTACCATCTCTCCTGAAATCACACGCAAGTGATTCCATGAATATGAAGTTAATCCTAGTCTCACAAGTCTCACCCAAATTTGAGTGAAAAAAGAAATTATATTAATGCATAATAAACCAAACCGGTTGCCATCAATTCTGACTCATAGCGACCCTATAGGACAGAGCAGAACTGCCCCATATAGTTTCCAAGGAGCAGCTGGTGGAATCGAACTGCTGACTTTCTGGTTAGCAGCTGAGCTCTTAACCACTAAGCCACCAGAGCTTCAATGCATAATAGACTAATTCACATATTCTGTCAGTTTCCATCTTTGATTTTTTTCCCCCAATAGTGTTGGTTTTTTCAAAACTAATTTGAGAAGGGTAACTTTTAAAAGACTTAAAAAATCTTGCACTCTCTGTACAAAAAACTCACAGCGGTGATTCAAGTTCCTGCCACTCTGGTCCTCGGGCAGCAACACTGGCATCTCTTGAGCACTTGTTAGAAACACAGTATCCCGGGCCCCACCTGCTCCACACTGTAACGCAATCCACAATCAACATCTACACTGTAACGCAATCTCAAGGTGACTGGTGTGCACACAAGTTAGAGAAGCACTGCGCTAGGACCGAGATTTCCTCACTGCTCCAACCTTACTTTTCTACAGTTCTCTCAGAAAGCAGTCTGGGCTGTAGCCTCTCCAGGGCATGCCTCCCTCCCACTTGTGAATTACTGGAGAAGCCTGGGAGACAGGACCAGATGATCTCGGATATGTCCTCCCCACAGGCCAGCTCGGAGCTCCACCGCCCTCAGGACTACCTGACACAGCCCCACTGCTGTGGCCTCTTCTGTGCACAGACCTGATCTGAACGAAGCAGCTTTGATCCCAAAGGATTCGTTCAGTGAATTATCACTGTCTAATTGATGACTACGCTTGTTAAGACCTTGTTCTGTGTGGGCTGGCGCTATGACAGCCTTCCAAAAGAATCCCTCAAGGCCAAGATCAAGTCCAGTCAGCCTCTCTGGGAATGTCCTTTCTTGTCATTGTTCTTCGTGACCTCACCATTAGTAAATACTTCATTAAGTCACACACTGGTGGCAGGGCAGTGATGGAGTTCTGGAAGTACAAGGTTACACAGAGCAGGGAGGACTGAGCTCTCTGCCTAGGGGACGTAACAGGCTTCACAGGAGAGGGACAAGGTCAGCCGCTCTCAAAGCTGGCTGCTTGGGAGAGACTTTTCCAAACACCAGAACCTGGGTCTCACCCCAGAGTCTGATTAGTGGGATAAGGTCTAAATATGAGCATGTTTCCAAAGTCTAATGACTCTAAGGGGCCCTGCTGGCGCCCTGGTTAAGAGCTCGACTGCTAACCAAAAGGTCAGCAATTTGAATCTGAATCCACCAGCCCCTCCTTGGAAACCCTAGGGGGCAATTCTCCTCTGTCCTACAGGGTCACTACGAGTTGGAATCCACCCCACGGCACCAGGTTTGGTTGTTTGGTTTAATGGCTCTAAGAGGGCAGCAAAGGTTCAGCGGTGGAATTCTCACCTCCCAGCGGAGACGGGCGTTAGATTCCCGGCCAACGCACCTCAGGCGCAGCCACCACTCGTCTGTCAGTGGAGGCCTGCATGTTGCTACGATGCTGAACAGGCTTCAGTGGAGTTTCTAGACTAAGATGGACTAGGAAGAAAGGTCTGGTGATCTACTTCTGAAAATCGGCCAATGAAAACCCTATCGAGCACAAATGGTCCGATCCCATTGTGAGTGTGGTGGATTAACCAGTAATCAAGGTACACAAGGGCTTACTTACTAATTTGTAGTGCACAATTTCACATGGGTTTCTCCACATCTTTGAAGCCTCAGAACTGAAGACTACCCCCACCTATATACCTGTGTTTCTGTTGTTGCTATGTTGATAACACCCTACTCATTCTTCCAGGCCGTTCTTCACCTCTCCACCCCCAGGCACTTTCTCTGAGATCCCTATCATCTGCGTTAGTACATGCTGGAATAAAACACATTTCCACAGTGCGTCTGGATAGCTGCTTCTGGGCCTGTCTCTCTGCTAGGCTAAGTTTCTGGGGAGTGGGGATCATGTTTGCATCTCTATCTTCCAAGCACCCAGCACAAAGCCTGCACCTAAAAGAAACCTAGTGGGAGTTTGTTGAATGAATGACAAACTTCTTAATAAATTCTTGCTGATTCAATCAGTCAACTCTGGGGAAATGGAGTGGTGTAAGCAGGATCATTTTCACAAGAAGCTTTAATTTTCCAAAATTAGAAAGGAATGCTTTGTATAGGTTCTCAGGTTGGAAAGTAAGCTTGGCTTCCCTGGCCAGGATCAGCTGGAGGGGGAGCAGCAGGAACAGACTCTTTGGGAGGCCAGCCTCCTGCCCCTCTGACTCCCCCAGACCAGCCAGCAGGATGAGCCCTCTGGGATCTATTGAGGGTCAGTGCTCCTTAACCCTGGCAACACATTAAATTCCCCTGACAGCTTTTTAAAAAATGCTGATGCCTGCACCCCACCTCCAGAGATTCTGATTGAATTGGTAAGGAAAGGAAGCCTGAACACCAATACTATTTAAAAACTCTCAGGCTATTCAAACATGGAGTCAGATTTAAGAAATGCTGCTATTAAAAAATTAATAAATAAACCAAACCTGTTGCCGTGGAGCTATAGGGAAACCCCCAAACAAAAATGCCTCTCTGAAGCCCACAGCTTAGGGGGCCCTGAGAGGAGCTTAGATTTCCCTGGAGGAGAATTTACATCAGGCTGTGAGCTATTTGGAAGCAGGGATCAAACTGTATTCATCCTTATCCCCAACACCTGGCATATAATAAGTGCTCAATAAAGGTTTGTTTGAATGAATGAATGCCCCACTAAGATTCCCTGAACCTAACCCCAACTTAGCTCCATCTCCCAGAGTTCTGCTAGAAATAACTCAGTTGGAACAGCGAGGAACCTGGTTTTTTCCCTATTGTATACACCCACTGCTAACTTGCCATCCTCAAATACATGTGGTGCTAGGACTGGCTTTTCAAAGTTCTAAATTGCTAGATCAATAGTTTTCATTGCAAAATCAAAGACTAACTGAATTTTTTTTTAAACAGGCTGTGTGCACCTAATTCTAAAACAACCATTTGAGAGGGTCAAATTGGTTAATTTAGCCAATTTGGTTAATTGCATTGGTAAAAATGAAAGGCCATCTCATTTCAAAGAACAGGGAGCAAAACCAAAGGAGGAAGTGCTACTGGCTGAGAATACAAAAAAAAAAGAAATTCCAAGTACACTCAGACATGACAGATCTCAAAAGGTTAATAAGGAAATCCAAGATATGCGAACAACGTCTTTAATACTCAAGGTTGATGTCAAGAGGCCCAACTGGGCATGCCTACAAATTTTCCCTCAGTGCCACCATCCACAGCCTAGCCTGGGATGCTATTTCCTATGATTAAAAAAAAAAAAAAAAAAGTTAAATTGATATGGTTGAAATTTATATATTTGTATATTCAACCATATCAATTTAACTTTTTTTTTTTTTTTAAACTAGGGCTCCTCCCTGTTCCAGCTGAGTTATGTCTAGCAGAATACTGGGATATGGAGCCAAACTGGAAGCAGGTTTGGGGGATCTTGAGCTGATGCATTCATTCATTCAACCAAACCTTTATTGAGCGCTTACTGTGTACCAGCTGTTGCGGATCAAACAAACCAGCTGTTGGACTAAATGTATCTGCTCTGACCCCCGCCCTACAGCAGCGGGTGGTAAGCGTGGCCTCAACTAACTGGAGTGAGCATCCATTTCAGCTTGGTTTCAAGCCCCCAGTGAAGATATTTAAGCTACTTCACATAAAAGTCAACACAGGGTGTTGAATATTTACTTGAATTTTTGTCAGGAAGCCGGTCTATCTTCCATACCACAGCTCGGTAGGCACTCTCATATTTCGCTGACCCCAGAGTGACCTGTATGACAGGTTCTGTCTCGGGTTCCTGTAAACTCCCCAGACAAGCTCGGCGGTTCATTTTGGCTTTCAGAGACTTCTGCCTCTGGAGGTTCATGGTCCAGAGGGCCTTGATCCACTGTGACGGGACAGGAAAGTGTATCATTATGTTGTCACAGGACCTCAAGGAACCAGCTTGGGATGGTTTCTGAGCCAAGGGGGCCATGTTGACGAAGGACTGGAGCTCCACATAAGCTCCTTGGACAACGACTACAGACTTCACGGAAAAAGGGAGATCTTCCCCATGATACAAAGTCTTGAAACGCATCAGCTCAAACCGGCAGGCATCCAGAGGTACAAACTTAATGATTCTCGATAGCTCAAATTCTTGTGCTTTCACACAGTTATGAAAATGATAGTCAAGGATCTCAATTCCCTTTTTTTCTGGGTCCTTTTCAAAATAGCGGTCATCTCGCTTCTGCAGCTCAAGGTCATTCAAGGTTAAAAAGCATTCCATGTTCCCATTCACGAAGCAGAGGCAGCAGATTTGCGTTATCACAGCACTTTCAACCAATCTTCCTTCTTTAGTGATTTTACCCCAAAAGTTGTCCGTAATTTCCAGGGAAATTTCTTGTTCCTCGTAGCTCCTTTTTGGTTTTGAAACAGCCGGCAGCTTCATCAGCTCTTCATCCACAGTAGTCAGAAAGTCGAGGAAGTCCTGGTACTCTGTAGACCCCAGCTTCAGCATCTGTTCTATGTCTGGTTCATGAACTAATTCCGTCTTGGAATGGTACTTCCTTTTTTCCGTGTAAGACACATGCTCAATCTTCACAGTATGGATTTTTCCTGCCACGCTAAAGTTCTCAACTTTGGGTTCAGAAAGTCTGCAATGTGGATCAAGCTGTATTTCTTTAAATGGTTTCTCTAACCCCTTCTCATAATACATTTGCAAAATCCCTCCAGGTAAGACTTTCAGAAAAATTGGTCCCCACTGCCGGGAGGACATCATGTTCTTCTTCTCAGGAATTCTCAGCATGAAGGACCATCCGGCTTTCGGCTGACTCCGGAAGAGGGCTTGGGGGACAAAGGAAGAGGCAGTGTCCTCAGCATACAGACACCGCATAGGCAGATTTCCAAGTGAATCTTGATTCTCAGCTGACTGGAGGTGTTCAAGCTTTGCACAGATATAGTTGAGTGAACACTGATTCAGGCTTTTTTGGTCAATGGGCATCTCCTTTGCTTTTGATGGGAATGTCTTCCTGCTTCCTGGGGGGTCAAAGGTTAACTGGGAAGCACTACCTTCGTCTTTCCAAAATGGACTTGAAAAGGCACAGTCATCCTGAAAATACTGAAACTGGGGAGCGTCACTTTGGAACTGCAGGCTTACAGTCTGGTGAGGGCTAGTTTCATCTGGAAGACCCACTTTGGGAGCTGGATGTGCACACGAGTGGTCACTGGGCAAGGAAGCATGGGATAAGCAGGCTGGCTTAGTAGGTAATGAGGAACCTGCTCCTGATGTTGTAAGTGGACTGTTTGAAGATGATTCTGGAATAGGATAAAGCACGTGAGTCCCTGCTTTGGGGATTCCAGGAAAACCTGGAAAGTCTTTGGTAGGTGTAGAAAGAGGAGAGTTACTTGGAGGTCCTGGGCTGAGGTAAAAGTCTATGATGGGAGAGGGGAGAGGGGTGCTGCTGGTGGAGGAAGATCCGCTGGAAAATTCCCTGAGGCCGGAGACATTCAGCTTAAGTCCTTTAGGTCTACAGATGCCTTGATTCTCTAGAGGGAAATTCTTTGACTTTTGAGGAGACTGAAAAGCGGGGTCATCATCAAATGTGACCCAGTTGCCTGGGTTCGTGGAACACATCTTTGGGGTCAGATTATCGTCTTGTCAATGCATCAAATATGTTGTCTCTATTAAAGGAGAAAGATAAAACAGGAATATAAAATGAGGAAAAGAACTCAGGTTACAGGGGATCTTTAGTTCTGAGAAATAATCAGATGTAAAAGCACCCAGATTTACAGATCAACTGGATTCAAAGCAATGTTTAAAAGCCGTAGCACTTTTGAATCAAACCAGCAAGTCTTTGAGTGGTAGGTATATAACCAGACCTTGTTAGGGTTGTGGAGAATACAGGAGAAGGAAAAAACCCAATTTATTATAAACTTATATCCCATTGGCAGCCCAAAATATATGTGAGGTTTACAATTTAGAAACATTTTCAAATTTATGATCTCAATTATCAAACGACACGGTGAGGTATGAATTATTATCCTCAACTCTCAGCTGAGATTACTTGGGTTTAGGGTCATTTCCTACAGTTACCCAGCTGGTAAGAGGTGCAACCAAGCTTTTTCTATAACAGCCTTATTGAAATATAATTCATCCATCAAAAAAATCCATCCTTTTAAAGTGCACGATTCAGAGACTTTGAGTATATTCAGAGTCATGTAATCATCACCACTATCTAATTCCAGAAAATTTTCATCACCCGAAAAAGAAAACCCATGCCCATTAGCAGTTACTCTCCATTCTCTCTTCCTTCCAGGCCCTGGCAACCACTAACCTACCCAGTGTCTCTACGGAGATTTCATATAAATGGAATCCTATGATATGTGGCCTTTTGTGATTAGCTTCTTCCACCTCCTACAGTGTTTTTGAGGTTCATCCAGGTTGTAGCATGTATCAGTACTTCATTCCTTCTCATGGCTCTGAATAACACCCCATCACATGGATGTATCCCATTTTGTTTATCCATTCATCAGCAGACGAACATTTGGATTGTTCCCACTTTGGGGCTATTGTGAATCGAGCTGCAATAAACATTTGTGGGCAAGTCTTTGTGGGGGCATGTGTTTGCCTTTCTCTAGGCATAGAAAGAACCAGGGTTTGCACACAGGTCACTTCAGCACAATCTAACACAACATAAATGACTGAATGACTCTAACTACACCAGAGGCAAGGGGCTGAAGGACCCCAGCACTGACCTGGGGGTTGGGGGACCGCAATGCTGACCACAGCTCTGCCACCACCAGCTGAGTGCACAGCCTCACCGACTTCACGTCCACCTCTGCAAACACGATTAGACTAGAATGATCTCTGAGGCCCTTTCCAACTCTAGAACCTATTAAACGACGCTTGACGTCCAACTGAATTTTTTTCCCAAAGAACAAACTGTGTTACGACTAAGTGTACGGGCCTTTGTGCTGCGATCCTGAACCAAACTTCCAACCTGACAGAAAGTAAAACTCCATGAGCTCCACTGGGGTGAACACTCACAACCCGCTGGAATGATGCCCATGGGAAAGGCTTGTTTCTCGCCCTCCAGCCTGCCTTCTTGCCTCCCCTTCCGGATAATGAAGGATCAGCTGTGGCAACCATTGAAGCTTGGAAAAGAGCCAACACAAAGAGAAAGGGGGCCCGGGACACCGCTGGGGGCAGCGTGCTCAGTGTTGTCATTTGCTACGTCTACACATTCCTCAGGGCACAAAAACACAGAGCGGAGCCGAGGCTCACTGGTGCTCTCTCTCTCGATGGCATTTCACTGTCACTGCCCATTAGGATGGAGCTGCCACAAAGCACTTTCCCCTCAGGGTGGGAGAACAGGTTTCAACGGATGCCACCAGGAGCCTGAGAGGCAGGAAATCAGCAGGAGTATTTCTTGACCCATCCCCATCCCCTCTTCAGAAGGAAGCCAGCCAAAATAACTCCTCACATAGAGTAAAAGATCAGGAAAATACTGACTTTTGCTGGGCTTAGTGAAAAGAAAGAGAAGACCAAGAGAAGAAATAACCCAGCTTCAGACTGAATCCTATTCTGATCTATACAAATGTTTTGCTTCATCAGTTTCAGCTTGAGAATTTCCAAATTTGGAAACCGCTGGTTTCTTCCGAGTTTTTGCTAATTATGAGGCAAATAAAGTGATTCCCCTCCGCCAAAGAAATCAATCCTGTTACTTTGTAAATGACCTTGAACCTTTTTTTTAAAGCACACGTTGCAAAAAATTTCCTAACCTGAGCCAAAAAATCTATGCAAAGTCAAACCTGAAGGATGCTGTTCCCACTCAGAAGAGCCTATTTCTCTAGGAAGCCCACCTACCCTTGGGCATCAGGCTGTGGGAAATGCAGCCTCAACACAGCTTTCCTCAAGGTTGTTCAAAAACAACAGCTCAGTATCGATTTGGATCCAACTCTGAAAGCGGCTTTCATAATTTAGCTTGCCCCATTTCCTGTCCCTACAACTGGCCGTCCTACCCTTAGTAATGAAAAGGTTCTCAGAATTGCCGCCTAACAAGTACGTCCAGATGCCACCCTCTCCTCAATCCTGACCCACTGTCTAATTCCCTAAACTCTGTGTAACTCCTGCAAAGCCCTTCCTTTCCACGCCATCCCCACCCTGATCTATTATCAAAAGTCTGTTTCTGCTGTTCTTGGCTTTTCTTCAGAAACCGTTCAAATAAAAGGCAACATGAAGCTCTACCTTGTCCTGGGGATTGTTTGTCAAAATCAGATTAGATGCATTTGGTTGCTGAACCAGCATTCCAGGCCGCTTGCAGCTGAAAATTTTGTCCCCACTTCCGCCTGTGTCTGTAAAGAACAATACGCTCCCGATATGGTCCCTACTGTCTGGCTTCTCCAGGTCTGCCTGCTGTTGGGGCGCACTGATGCTAACGAAGTATTCAGCAGAGCTCAGGGAAACACCACCAACACCTATCAGTAGCCTTCTGAAATCAGCCGCAAGCGAACCTGCGCCTTACCAAGCCTCAGAACACATGTGGACCCCCAGACGCAGCCTCACCTTTTCCGGGAATGGACCCCGATGCAGAGGCTGAATTTGGTCCTTTATACCCCTGCCTTTTCTGCTCGGTAACAACGCTGCATAATGTAGCGAAAGAATGTCTTAATGTCAGTATCTGTGTGGTTTCACTGCCTGTTCCCCAAATAAGGAATTCGCAGTCTCCCCCGAAATGCCAGACTCCTCAACAGCAACACTGTAACAAAACCAACACTGGCTCTAGGAGCCTCCAGCTTTGTTCTGCACAGGCTAGAGGCCAACAGTCCAGTGACCCTCGCCGCTATTCCAGGGCATACATTCCAAAACAAAGCCCCCGCCGGGGACAACCCAGAGGACAAAAGTGCATCCATGAAGAATTTTCTTCAAGGTTTCCTATCAAAGTATTTAAAAGAGCATTCCTATGGAGTGTTCCCTTTTGAAGAGGAAACGAAACGCTGGTAACCAAAAGGAATCATAAAACACCACCAAATCCTCAGCGATGTGAAGAAGTCCGCATAGCACACCCTCATCTGAGGTCACAGAAGTGCCTTTAGGCACCATGTACTTGCGGCCCATAATCTTTATCACAAACGTGTGGTATTTAGTTCAGCTATGTGACAGGAAATACCACTTGTAAAACATTAAACTGCAGCAAAACCAACCCACGCCTTCAAATATTATCAGTGCTGGTTCCAACTTAACACCCCAGGCGGAGGGCAGACCCCGCTCGTCACACAAAGCATTTAACCTTCCCTTTTTCAGGCTAAATTGGGGCCCCAGCAATTTTTCTAACTTTATTTTAATCATCTGTTCATTTCCTAAATTTAGAGACAAACGATTAGCTCACTTGGCTGCTAACCAAAAGGTTGGAGGTTTGAGTCCACCCAGACGTGCCTCAGAAGAAAGGCCTGGCGATCTACTTCTGAAAAATCAGTCATTGAAAACCCTGTGGAGCACAGTTCTCCTGACACACACAGGGTCGCCATGAGTTGGAGCTGACCAGATGGCAGCTGATGGTAATGAACAGGTACCAAGTCAAACTGGCCAGCCCCAGGAGATGGCCTGTACCTGACCAAAGACAGAATTTGGAGCTGGGCAGGGATTCTGATTTCAGAACTGTATTCTTATAATCATGTTCAGGAGCCCTGGTGGCTCAGTGGTTAACAGCTCGGCTGCTAATCATAAAGTTGGCAGTTTGAGTCCACCAGCCCCTCCTTGGAAACCCTATGAGGCAGTTCTACTCTGTCCTACAGGGTCACTGTGAGTCGGAATTGACTCCACAGCAGTGGGTTCGGTTTTCCTTGGTATCACCTTCATGTCACTGTCATAGATGCTATGGAAATGGCTATGCAGACATATCTGAACCTCCGTTTTCTCACCTGGAAAATGATATTAATATTTACCTCATATGCAAATTGCCTCATAATGTTGTTAGGTGCCATTGAGTTGATTCTGACCCATAGCAACCCTATAGGACAGAGTGGAACTGCCCTACAGGGTTTCCAAGGAGTAGCTGGTGGATTCAAACTTCCGACCTTGTGGTTAGCAGCAGAGCTTTTAACCGCTGCGCCACCAGGGAAGTGGTAGCATGGTACTTATAAAGTAGATGTTCTCGAATCTGTGTTCACTTTTACTACAAGCCCAGGGTTGAAACAGTAGGCTCCACCATTTAGTATCTGTGCCAGGCCTTTAGGGATCCCCAGGAAAAATCCCAGGGTTCCCCTCCAACTCTGAATTGGTCTCTCGTTCCCCAGCAAGTGACAATCAGGGCGCGAGCCCAGTGCAGGGTGAACTGAGTTGTGCAATGAATGCCGGGACTTAAGCAAGCAAGTCAGCACGGCATCTGGAAACTTCAAACGTAACCAGGAAAAAGACTGATAAAAAGTCGCATAGGCCTTCCCATGTGTGGCTGATGGCTGGACGGTTAAAACCGGAAAACCTGGGACCCCGCTTATCACTCGTGACCCAAGACTCAGCAGAGCACCACTCAGTGACATCACAGTGAGAGGCTGACTGGCCCCCACAGCCCAGCACAGTGTCCCTCCCTGACCCTCTGTTGTGGGAGACTGAGGAGGGCTCCCGGGGTGCCCGAAAGGGGTAGATGACCAGTGTGGGGACTTGTGGGGGCTGGAGGAGGCAG